GGCACCCACGTGATTGTCATTTAGCACGAATTATGCCTTTGAAATATAATGATGTACACCGTGATAAATAGGTGCTTTTATTCTTGCTTTGTAAGCAAATCAATCGAAGCGCGAAATTAATAAAGATTAATTCGTATCAGTAATAAACAGAGCCTACCTTAAAATCGCGTCGCGAGGCATCGAACGAATGTCGTCCGCGATTTCTTGAAGCCAAAACAAACTCACCGTTGATGAGTTCTTAGGCGCGTGAGATTACTGTAATTATACATACGGCGTGTGCGCGGGGAGTGTACGACGCGCTCGTGACAAATTAAAATAGCTGTTTTACGCCGCGTCGTTTTATCGTCATAGCTCCGCGCGCTCGCGCCCGCTTCGCTGCAGCTTCCCTTCACATCGTTAAAACGGTAAATTACTATCGCGAGCTTGGCGCTGCAATTAGAGGAAAAATAAGGAACTCGGCGCGGAGCTTATTGGGAAATCAACGAGCCAGAAGAAGCGTACGAACGATTGAAACGAATCCTTTTCGAGCGATGGGAAACACAGCGACCGTGCACTCGCGACTTCAGTGTATAGGCTTCGCTTCGCGCTTCCGCGTGCACGTCTCGATTCGCAGGCTCGAATATTGCGCGCAGATTATTCATTAAGCCGTATTAAAGAATTCGTTAAACTCGTTAACTTGTAATTTGTTTTTTCTGCACCGATCTTTCGATTTCATTAAAGAGATAACGATCAAGAATTAAACGACGAGTTAATTAATCTTCATGAGTTTTACGATTTTCTCACGCATTAATCTTTCTTATTGTTCATGAATTATTGTACTATATTTTGACTTGCACTATTTTAGTTACGATATTTTTTTGCATATGCATAATTTCTTTAATAACCCTGACATGACTCATTGTTAATGTAGCGTACACTGCCGGCCAAAAGTTTGCGGCCGTATCTAAAATTTAAGAATATTCTAATTCAATATTCAAATAATACTACTTAAATGTCCGATTCATGCTTTATTCAGTATCTTTTCTTAATCTAAAAGTAAATAGGCGTTATATTTAGCACAATTGTGCTAAATATAGTGATTAACATAACATGCACAATATAGTGATTAATATATGGTTTAGTTTCGAGAAAATTGACTATAGTCTTTGACGAACTAAAGCATTCTTTTTCTAAAACTGTATTTTAGAAGTCTTTCATCAGAAAAAATAAACTATATTTGTAGATTATCTAGATTAGTAAAAAAATTGATCAATTGTTATAAGAGTGGCTACATTAATGAAAAGATTGTTTAATATTTTTTAGCGTTCTTGTAAAAAATTTTATTTAAAATTTAAATTAAAATTAATTTGTAGAAATTTTAAACATTTTATATTATTTTTCACTTCATTACAATACAATGAGTAATAGAAAAATAAAAATGTGTTAAAATATAATGTATAAGTTTGATTTTACTTTGTACAGTAGACATTTTCAATTAATGTCATGATTTGAAACTTCCAACCGGCAGTATATCAAGAAAAAAAAATCAGATTTTACTTAGAGTTACAGAGTTTCCGACCAAAACCACAAGGTTTTCAAGTAAATCGAATCTAACGAATCTAACAACTTATACGCAATGAGGCGCGGCCGATTCTATCAGTAACCTTTATTGCACTTACAACAGAGGCCGTCGAACCATCCTTCAACTCGTTATTGTGCTGGTTGCACTCTACCCGCATTTATATACACGCATTTAGAGGCACACATACACAACTTGGCACAGTTATTCGAGCGAGAGAATTAGAGTTAAGATAACGAGAGGCAAGTCGTTGACGACGCAATAACCACTTGGCGCTTTCCTTTAATTCGCGCAGGAAGAAAGTCGATAGAAAACGAGAGAATGAGTGTGAGAGAGAGAAAGAGTGAGGGGGTGGGGGAGAGAAGAGGAAGAGATTTGTCCATGCGACGCATTTGCTTTATAAAAAGCACATATAAAGATGCAAATTTAGTTTTACAGCGAAAATATCTGTAGCTATTCTCAGTGTGAAAGTATCAGTTTGATATTTAAAAAAAGAAAACGGCGAGATCGCATCCGGCAAGAGACCTGCACTCGCTGCTCCATTCAATATTTCACAAAGAAGCTGAACTCCGTAAACTGTTTTTGAAGGACGCGTGGGTCGCACCGGAAACATGCATCGCAAAGTGCATTACGCGGGCGCCGCGCCGCTTCGCGATGCGGGCATTTCCAGGCGGTTGTGGCGTACAAAAATAGACAGATAGATAAAGATGAAAATTCGTGGAAGACACAATTGAGAAAGTAAAACTGAAAACGTTTCTCGAAAACGTTTTAGTTTAAAAGGATTTTTTTTTATCGCGGCACATGCGTATCTATAGACGAGAGATACGTTAAGTGTAACGTCATACATGCGATATGTGCGAATTATTCATAGCTGACGATGAATATGCGCCCGTGACGAATGAAATCTAAATGTAGAAGAATACTGAGAGAAAAAAGAATAGTTGCTATTACATATCATAGTTTAACTATAATTTATAGTCATTTCTGGAGCCAGCTATATTATATGGTTGGACCCCAAATATGACTATACATTATAGTTAAATTATGATAATTGCTACTATTTTTATAGTAATAAAAACTATAATGTATAAGTTTCAAAATTTGTTGGTATCAACTGTATATTTGTTGATAAAACTGTACATAATTATTATTATTAACATTATAGTAATAATAATTATATTATATAATTACAAATACCAAAAATTTTTCTCTCAGTGTACCTAAATTGACGTTTCATGTTTCTTATTGCTTAATAATGATAAAATGTGCAACGTTGTTGCCAGTAAATAAGAAACAATTGACGATTGAAAGTTTAACATAAGTAAATGCTAAAAAATCTTGTGATATGCGCCATAATAATTATATTTATAGTCCGCTAGAACTACAAATATAATTACTCTTACTAATATTATAGTACTATAATAACTATAAAAATGGAGCGTGTAACTATAATTGTTTTACTCTGCAATTATAGTTGCAAGTATCACACACTTTTCTCAGGGCAGAGAGAAATAGAAGACAATTTTTAGAATATTAAAATGTTCTCGATTTCACATACAAGGATGCTTAAATGGAGATTGCAATTTAGTAATTCGAATCACTGAAAAAAGTAATCTTGCAATTTATAGGGAGAATTATTTAGGTACGAAAAATTAGCTAAAACGGATAAGTAAGCACTGCGATACCACATATGTTTTGTATTTAATCAATATAGATAACAGAGACAAAAATTATATCTGAACTATTTGTCAAATTTAGCAAGAAAGTTCCTCTATGACGTTTAATCAGTCCAGAGTCCAATCCAAACTCCAATCATATTTGGTTATGCGAGACCGATATTTTCTTGCGTATATTCTTAGAATATTGCTGCTATAAATTCTACGTATGACAAACAATTTTTTAGCAGATATAAAAAACAGCGATATAATTTAAGTGTAATATTAATATTTAGAATTCTAGCTGGAACAGCGAAACATTTCCCTGAGTGAAAGAAACGATTCGGTGATTTGAAAGTACAATCCTCGTAAATTACGTAAGTTATTTTGATCCGATGCACACGGGAGGCTGCTTCTTTAATTTGTGCAAATTTTCAGAGTCTTACGATTTAATTAAGCGTGGGAAATTGTTCGGTAGCCGTCTGGATCTTCAAGTTAACATTATGTGCGAATCATTAAATGTACGTAACAACGAGAAAGGGGCATCAGAGAGTCAAAGAAATTACGTTCGCCACATTCGTTCGTACTCTCGGAATTTGTCACGGTCACGAGCACGTACAATGACGTGGAATATGCGGCGCGTGAGCTTAATTATTCGGCACAGTTTGAATCTAATTTTCCGCGGTTGGTACTCGGCATTCCGTCCACCGCGCTCGTTCGAACTTTTTATTTCAGTCCGTTGACCGTTGTGCCATTGTCATCGCTTTTCCACGAAAATCCAATTTGCCCGCAGGTCATTCGGCGCATATATACATATATAAATTCTCGTGCATATTATTTTAATCATATTTCTAGCGTAAATTCACGTATATATTTCCATTGGAGCTTCGTCATCCGTGGTCTCATTATCTCTCTGTTTCGCCGCTCGCCGGATTTCGCCGATTATTAACTTTGAGGACATCGCTTTGTGGGCGAGATCGCGTTAATCTAGGCCTGGCAAGAGAGATGAAATTGCGCGATGGAAATTTCGTTATTTAAATATACTTTATATGTTAAAATATTGGTGTATTTTGCACAATATTTCCGAGGCAGTCCACTTGCGCCTCGCCGACGTGTCAATCGGTGCGGAGTGACGGCAAATGAAGTCGTTACATCTGGGAATTTTATTCTTGGGATTCCAAGCCCTTTAACGCGTACAGCGTACAGCCTTTATCCAAGAGGATACATCGCGTTCCTATCCATCGACGATGTGGTATTATTATTATTATCGAGAAGTATCTGCAGTTTCGCTTCGTCGCGCCGATACCTCAGCATCACTTTATTGATTATTCATTATCACGATGTGGATTATACAGGAACGTTCGCAAACTACATTTCACTCATTCTCCAAATAAAATCGCCTGTTTATCAACACGTTGCCTCTTCTGAAAAGGGTAACATTATTATCTTCTAAGCGCACACTCATCGCGTTTCCTTGCTCCCGAAAATATCTCTCGACTCGAGCTTACTGGATTGCCTTTGTCGTTACGTTGGTAATGTTGATTTACTGGGAAAAATCGTAAAGCGCATGATTGCACGAGGGCAATGTCAAGGGTGGGGCCCTTCGGGATGTCTCGCCGTGCCTGTTTTCCGCTCGCGCCTGCCCGACTGCACACTTCTCGAGGCGTGTGTGCGTGAGGGAGATAGATAACTAGATATAGAGAGGGAGGGAGAGGAAGAGAGAGCGTGTGTGGGCCCCGGGGACGGTGGTAATTGTGGTTAATTTAACGACGGTCAAAGCAGTCACTGCCTGTCCTTATAGGCCAGTTTATGCGGCCGAGTCTCGAGCGCAGGCTGCATCGCTCGCGTCACAAAATCTCGCTCTCGTCAAAATCGCGGAACGGCGATTTTTTCGCGCCGTTCGTTGTAATTTGACAATCTACAGTTGTCTTGCAAGAATCGACGACAAGTGTTTTGTGTGTGTGTATGTGTGCGTGTATATTTGACGAAATTAGTTTGATTAATTAATCGAGTCGGTCGTAATTCGAAGAACGAGATCGGTTGAATAATGTTTCTGCGAGATGAATTGTAGAACGTACTAGAGGAAAGGTGAATTCTTCTCGCTTTGATGCCTTTGAAGCCTTGACAATTGCGAATGAGAAGTCGGAAGCTGCAGAATAATGCGAAAGAAATGATTAGGTTCAGTGATCCTGATTTTTTGTGTGCTTACCAAATTTGTTAGGAATAAATACACAAAGAGAGAGATTAATTAATTAAATTAAACCATCAAACCACGCAGAAAATTAATTTCTGCTACATGTACCACATGTAACAGAATAATGTAAAATCGCTGGTTATTTTAATAACGTTTATTAACGCAATTGATGAAAAATGTCATTTTCATTTGTTAGTCCGAAATAATATCACGAAATCGTCAAGATTTTTATTACTTAATGTTCAGGTCAAATAAAATAGAAATCAGCGGTATTCTAAACGTATAGAGTAAGAATAGCGCAAAATTGAAGGATATAATGAACCATCATTACAAAAGAATTGATTGGCGTGAGTGTGAAACGATTACAACGGCCTCGCTATATATCGATACTCCCCGATCGAGCCTCGACCCGTATCGGGAGTCTCTCTCTCTCCCTCTTTCTCGTGATCGCCAGTAACGGTGATCACCTCGTACCGACCATTTCGTGTAATCAACGCCGCTTAACACCTGCGGCTGTCGCGCGCGCCGGTCGTTAGGAAAATCGATCACGATCGTGCCCGATCTTCGCCGCGAACGGACGCAATCTGGAGAGAACGTTTTGTTCTCGTTTTATATACAGTGGAAATATCGTTCGCGAATAACAGTTGCGGAATCAAGAGATCGCGACCCCGATATCCGTGAACGCAACGCGAAAAAATCGGTTGTTCTCGTACTCAATTGCACCGTGATCAATCTGGTGAACCGTTCAGCGTTGGTGAAATAATATTTCGATGGTAATTGATCGTGAATATGTGATTTTATGGCTCTGCCGTGCCGGTTAACTACCATACTCGCTCTGGCAGGATGAAGATGTCCGCCGAGAGGCACGAGGCCGAGCGATTTTGCCGTCACGTGCCTTAATTGGCCTTACCTTGAACACATTCTTTTATCCCGAATAATTTTGTTCGACATCAGAATTGTACGGATTTTTTTCATTTTTCTTTATGCGGTGTGTTTTGTACGGTAAGCGAGAGAGGAGGACAAAATAATGCGGAGAGAGAATTTGATCGGGCAAACAAGGTATAACGATCGATCGATCCGAGAGGTATATCGACTGATCATCCAGTTCTAATTTTTCATGTTGGGAGTAATTAACGGATGTCGAGAATGCGATGTGCGCAATGTAATCAAATAATGGACAGAAGGCGTGTCGCCCTTCCCGTCGGAATGCGAAATTATTCCCTCTTCCTGTCTTCGCTCGCTCGCTCGTTCGCTCGCTCGCCCGCTCCAAACAATTCCCCCAGCTCGACGAATCGTATGAAAATCTATACGAAAGAAACGTGTTATTACCCTGATGTCTGAATTAGGTATTTCATTTGTAGCACGATACATATTGTGCGGTCGTTAATACTTGCAAAATTTAATATAAGAGAAATAATGTTAATTATTTGATATACATATGTGCGATTTTCACAAGATGCACACTGGGAAAAAATGATTGTAATTACCATAATTTAACCATAATTTTTGATGTCCACTATATATTTGTTTACTAGTACTATAAATAATTATTATAACTAACATGGAATTGTAATAAGTGTATTGTTATTATTAACATTATAGCAGTAATAATTAAAAAATAAGCAGTATTAAAATAGCATTTTCCTGCACGTAAAGAATGATTTTGAGAAATCCTAAAATTTAACTGGATACGGATCTGAAAATAATTTTGTTTACTATTAAAATAATTATGTCGGAAACTTAAACTGATTACTAGAATAGCAAAATTTTTGCAGTCTTGCTGATCATGCTTCAGTTTCCAACATAATTATTTTCAGATTTGTATGCACCCAAAAACCTTAAATTTCTCAGCAAAATTGTTTCTTCTATAATCTATGTAATCATAATTATTTTATCATGCAATTATAATCTTAAATACTAAATGCTTTTCTCTCAGTGCGCATTTTTAATTTGAAGCCAAATCTGTGTTTTTTTGTTGTTGTAAAGCTGCTTCTCCAAAAATTTCGTTACGGAAAGATAAGATAATTGTTTGTTAAATATCGTTCGATTTAAATATTTACGAACATATAGTTCAAGCGTATACTTTGAGCGGTCTCTCGTGCGACGGATACTTACTAATTTTTCTTTTATTTAATTAAATGTATCACGTAAATCTCATCTAATCGAATCACATTATTTCGCGTCGTAGAAATTAAATTGTAGCAACTTTGCGAAATTCGTGTGAGATTTACTTTTCCATCTTTTGAATCTTCCATCCTCGCGATCGATCGCATGCTTGGCCACAATAGGTTTTCCGTTATGACTTTATGACCGTCATCACTCGGCCATTGAATTCATTTTAAGCCGATAATAGGCTGCAATAAAGACGATAGTAATTCAGGATCTATGATCGGACTCACTCGAAAGTTCACACGCGTCGTTTCAATCTTTGAATTATCAATTCACCGGGTAATTGTGTCGCGCGCGCGCGCGCGCGCGCTCTCATAAATATTCAATCACGTAACTGGAGTGATCTAACTTTGATTATACGGGGTCGATTAGGTGTGTGTGTGTGTACGTGTGCGCGCAAGGCGAAGGAGAAGCGTTGATAAAAATAGTTGTGCGACATTATCGAGTGTGGCTTTGCGCGACGTGCCTCCTCGGGGCTTAGAGATATACGGACGACGACGTGTGTTAAACCCCTCTCCCCTGATAACAATCACTTAAGCGGAACTATAGCGCGTTGTATCAACAGAGTTCTTTCACCGGACGTAAACGATAAACGGCGATCTCCCTCTCCCTTGCTCGGGCCACTCGATATTACCGCGATCATTTTATCGAAGCTACTCTCGTTCGTTGAACGAACGGATCGGGTTACAAGCACACTTCCCCTCTTTTTTTTCAAACGAGATATTCGACAGGCGTCGAATTTATCTATCAACCTACCACGACCTACCGGAACAAAAAAGTATTTCGTCGTAAGCGTCTCCGTTTTCGTTAATATCGAGTTTTATTTCGCGTTTTATATGAAAAATATAAAATTTATTTTATGTAATAAAAGGAAGAGTGGAGATTTATTATGGTTAAATTGGAGGCAAAATTTACGAACTTATTTCAGGGAAAAAAACACAGTTTTCCGTTTAGATGTTATTATTATATTTAAGATGTAAAAATTATAATTGTAATTAATGCAATACCCACAAATTAATTAAAAATATAAAAGTTTTCTGTCATTGAAAAGTCCCGAAGATTTTGAGTTTTGCCACGATTTTATAACTTCTAAGAAAGCAATCTATTATTTTCTAATTTTCCAGGATACTTTGCTTGAACCTAAAAAGACATTAGAAAAATATTATTACAAAATGTAATTGTATAACAACATAAATAATGTCGATTTTTAAGCAAAAATTAAAGTTTTATATTTTTATTGTTATGTATTTTATTATTTTGTAATCACATTTTCCTAATAAACTTACTTTGCTGAGCAAAGTGTTCTGAGAAAAACTAGATCAAAAAATAGCAGATTGCTTCCTTAGAAATTACAGAACCGTGATAGAACGCGAGAGATTCGAAATGTCTTTAATAACAGAAAATATTTTTAATAAGTTTTTATATTACAAATTAATTTTCTACATCTCAAATATAGTTGTAAATAACACTTGAACGGAGAACTGTGTTTACTTACTTCTTCTCCTGAAATAAATTCGCAAATTTCGCTTTTAATTTGTGCAAATTTTCAGGGAGTCGATTGTGTATCCTAAAACGAGGTGGAAACTATAAAAGTAACCAAATTCACTAGAATATTTACAATTTCATTTGTCAACATCTAGTGAATTTGATCATTTTTGTAATTCTCACCTCGTTTCAAGATGTATAATCAACTTGTAATTGCCTTAAGAATAATTTATTGCCGAAACATTTAAAAATACAAATATTGGCACCAATTTTTTTTACTTGTATTTCATTTCTTATGCAGCAGCGTTTAGAAACGATTAATTATCGTGTAAGCCTAGAATCGAGATCGACGAGATCTGGAAACTTGCCTATTCAGGGCGACGTTCCAGTTCTTTCGTCTGCAAAGAAACGTTCGTTTGCTCCACTCGATCGACTTTCTTCCGGGGCGATCCACGGGGGAGGAAGGGGGGAGAGAGGAAAGGTAATAGGAATCGTAAAACAGCGTTGGATCACGTCTGCTCTCTCGAGAGCACGAATCTCTCGTATATCGACAGAATAAAACTGTAAATAACCCGATCTTTCTTTCTTTGTGTTTATTAATCCTCACCTGCGCGCACGCGACATACACCAGTTGACCGGACTATTATACTGCAGTCGGGTTTGCTTAGAACGTTGCAGGGCGAATGCAGTAGATTGAGTAGATCGATACTCTCGATGTTTTTACATTGTAAAAAGCATCAACGTTTCTTAGACATCTGAAAATTAATAATAGGATCAATCTCTGTCATTCAGACGTTTGCAAATTTCTAATCCTTAAATTGAATGCATAAGTTCGAAATTACGTAACGACGGTATAATTATTACACAGAAAAAAAATTAATTTTAAATCAAGTTACATCTCATATATAGGCGGCAAAAATATGTGTTATAATTTTCATAAAGAGAGATAGAGAGAAAGAAAGAGAGATTTTATTCTTGATTTGATTGAATTTGTATCGATGCACAAGTGTTCCTTACATTCAATTCAAGACTAAAAATCTTCTAAGATTATATAATATTATTCTTACTTTACGTATCTTGATTTAAGATTAATTTTTTTGGGGTATTTGCCGATAAATCGTAACGCGATAGACATCGTAAAAGTTATTTAGAGAAGACACAATTAGAACTTCGAATACATATGGTCATCACGTGTGCGGGCAAAAATTCGATTTGCTTAACCTTCGGTTGTCACACTTGACAAAATGACCCCAGCTATTTACTTTAGGAATGGATTTTTTCAAACTTAAAAATTTTTGCGATCCAATTAAATTGTTAGTTTTCAAATGGCAGCCTTTTAAAAATTGGTTTGACAAATTGATCTCAAATAATAAACTTGATTGAAAAAAGGTGTGACAACCGAAGATTAATAACAATTACGTAAACGAGAGGCGAATTAATTTTCAACGGGCATTCCACGAGTATCGCGATTCAAAGTAGTGAACGACGAAAAAAAGAAATCTTAAGTGGCGGATGACAGCGAGAAGAATCCGAAGTATCGCATTCTATAGTGACATCACCAGCCGGTCACGTCGAAAGCACAACGTTTTTATTAACGCAATACACTCTCGACATATTCACACTCTAACGCCCCCTCTACCCATCTCTGTTCCCGTATCAGTCGTACAAGCAGAAGCGTACTAAACGAGATTTATCCTAAAGTATTCCCCAGATGAGAGCTAATCGCCGCGCGTTTAGAGAGCCACGGTACGTTCCGGAGGAAAGGCTCGCGTGATACACATACACATCGCACATATACACACATATACCAGGCCGGGTCACGAGAAAACGTCCGTACGGCGGCTGTACGTGTGTGTGAGTGTGCATGTGCGTGCTTAGCGTGCGCGTCGCGGCGCGCGTCGTGTGCACGCTAAACGAGAGACAGTGACACGAGGAGTCCCGCGCCGTCGTCGTGACGTGCACGAGTAGTGAACTGGTGAACGTGGGTGAACGAGGAACTACAACGACGACGACGACGACGACAACGACGAGGCGAGCCTGAGTCTCTTATCCCGATAATAAATAACGCGAAGGGGAAGAAATGTTCAAACTGGCCGGACGCCACGAGTGGGAAGCTTGGACAAAAGGTAAATGGAGAAATTCCAACGTGTGGGCGGTGAGACCTTCGTCCTGCGAGAATACAAGGGCGGAGGGAGGGGGAGCGGATGGCACTCGCACAAAAAAGCCGGCGGAATCGCCGATGATTGATAAGAGGGGCTTCCGCAATTGCAATATCGGGGCGGGACGGAGAGTTAAGGAAGAACGGAGACAAACGTTTAGAAGGTTCAGAAGATTGTGAGGTTTCGTGCTCTCTTTGTGTCCTATGTAAATCGTTTCCGGTTATTTCGTAGTGGCGAATCACAGAGTCGTATACATTCCTTCATCGCGATATTTCCTGACCATCGAATTTTTCGATCGTATCGATTCTTGCTCCGGCGACAATCTGGCGCAATGTTTCTTACGCGTAATTTTTACCATTAGATTACATTCTGAGAGCACATATGTAGTAAATTGTCGGAACTTTATTTGCAATGGAATGAATGACGCGCTCTTTTGTTCCAATAAGTCAACGGTCAGTTTTTTTCCTGTTGTTTTATTGTGTTATCGATTTTTTTTTTAATTGTGCCTCGATGGAAATACACGTTCTGGAAACTAAGGCAGCGCATGAAACTGCGCATGACTAATGTTAGATATTTATCGCGACACGTTCGGCAACGAAAGCAAGTATATATTTACAAACAGAGCCGTCCGTGTCGAAACATCGAGACGAAAGTTACATATTCAAGTAGATGAAGGCATGGAAGAGTCTTCTGTGCGTCATGTTGAATATTTTGAGGGGGAGGGGACGAAAGAAATTTGCATATTGACTACATTTTATATATTTTCGAGATATTTTATTTTATAGCATGTGCAACACCGAACATGCTAGCAAGGTAAACCGATGCTTTTCTCAGGTTGAAAAAAAATGCAAAATTATTTTAATAAAGTTTTATTAAAAATTTTGATGTAAACTATATTTCTTAAATTACTATCTTAGAAAAGAAATATGACTTTAATGGATCTGTAATTAAATATTTGTGAAATTCCAAATAAAATTGTGAATTTCCAAATGTGGAAACACACAGTAGAAGACATTTTGTATTTGTATTAAAATCAGCCCTTATTAAATTTTTTTATATTAAGTTTTTAAAATATCTAACGTTAATTTAATACAATGTGATTGCATTATTTGAATGTTTTGTGTTAAATTGATATTCAATTTCCCTTACATAATTGTAATTAAAATAATAATAATAATTTTTCTTACACAATTGTATTAAAATGACAGTTTATGACTAAATGAACAGATAATAAAATAATGTGTATTTTAAAATGTAAATTCTAACAAAAGATAAATGAACAAATATATTGTATTTACGATATGTTAATTTAACATATCGTGCAAATGTTAATTTTACTGAAAAAAAATGTTCGCACTATTTGCTTACAAGTTGTATCAAAGTGTTACATTTTTTATGTTAATGTTTACACATTATTTGTGTTACTTTCTAACATATTCATCTTGTGTCAAATTAAGACAAAAATTTGGATGGACTGTTTAGCGACATATGAAATATGTTAAATATAAATTTTCCAACGGTATAAGATAAATAAATTAAAAATGTACATATATAAATTTATAAACATGTTAATTTAACATAAATATAATATTAATTTTACATGACTGAAAACATGTTTCCACAATTTGCTTACACATTGCGTTATAGTGTTACATTTTTTTGTATTAATTTTTTATATGATATTTGCTCACTTTCTTACATATTAATCTTGCGTTAAATTGACACAAAAATTTTAACGAACAGTTTGGGTCACGTGAAACGTGTTACAAATTTAACACAAATTTTCCAACTGGTATTACAATTTTACGTTACATTCTCTCTTTCTCGTTCTCCGACACATAAATTGAGAATAGAAAATACTAAAAATATTATTTTCAATCAAGTCTACATTAAATCGAGAAATGCACATTTTCATTGCACAGTAACACATATCGATGTCATAATTCAATAGGAAACGAAAGATGAGGAGGCATTTCACAACGATGTAACTCGCGCGATAAGCAACGGCCGCGAGTCATTCACTTTCGTGATGCATCGCGAGAAGAGATCCGCCTTGATAGCCGTAACATTGTAGGCATGTTCATATCGCGTCCAGCTGCCCGATATACATCGTACAGTTATGTTTCCTCGCACGTGTGTACCGTATGCACCGCTCCTCGTAACGGGTCCTCGCGCGATGAGGCAATTATTAAATCGCGACTCGCGGGCTCGCGAGATCACAGGGCGCGCATCGCGTCGTCGCAACGCGTTCGCGGTCTCGCGACGCGCCATCGCGAGAGATTCTGTTATGCGCGCACACCTGGCGCCAACCTTGACGATGCCGTTCGCCCCCTCACTTATCACGACGCGCGCGGTATGCGCATGCATGAGATCGCGAAAAAATTACACGGTCGCTTCTCGGTCGTGTATATACACGTATACGAGTATCGCCGCGCCTCGTCATGCGATCCGACCAGCCAGCCGTATCGTATTTTGACGAGCCGCTGAATCGCGTGTCTGCCAGGCAGACTCGCATATAAGTAAAGGCGGCATTGAATTCGGATCTCTTGGAAATTTCTCCGTTTTCACTCGATTGGCATTTCTTCTTAATGAGCAATCATGAAAAGTTCGATCAACGTAAATTGGAACGCGACGGAATGTCATACATCACTAATGTCAAAGTAAACATTAATGATGTATGGGTAAATGTGGAATATTAAATTAAAAATTACTGTTATTTAAATTATGGATTCAACTGATAATTATTATAAAAACGGACGGTAATTATTATAAAAAAAGTAAAAAAGAGTGTCAAGTGTAAGCGTGTTCCTAGAAAAAAAACCTGTATCCAAATTAAATATAATAATTTTTAAAAAGGATAAAACCTAAATGACATCTCTCTTTGATGTCCAACTTTACTTTAGTGTATGTATATTACTATTAGAAGAATTATAAAAGAGTTGATATCAGTAAATGGGATCAAGGTAAATAAAAATTATATACGGTGTCTTATTATTCAATTACTATTACTTGTATAAAAGATTTTATATCAGTAAATAGCATCAAGTGAAAAAAATTATCTTGCAGCCTCGCACGCTTCGATAGGTGTATATCAATTTATATTTTAATTATATTTATATTAGTTTAAAC